AGGGCTGTGGGGTCGGTGCTGTGGAAGTGAAGTGCCAGCTGCCCGGCTCCATTTCTTCCTGGAGAGCTGGGGCCACCAAGAAACGGATTCCCTGGGGCTTCACTATCCCTGGGGTGGGGGCAATGGAGACCTCACAGGGCAAGTGCTCTCCAATCTGGGGGTCAGTGGGCTGGCACATCGTTGAGGCTCAAGCGCGGAGCAGAAACAGACAGAAACCTGGGCCCGGAGGCCTTTTGCCCCTGTGGGTCCTGAGCACCGAATTCGGCTTTTGAGGACAGAGAGTCTGGCGTGGTGTCAGGGAGAGAAACCCCTCCCCAGAACGGCAGGAGTGCTGCCTAATAAAGCCAGCTGCTGGGCCGGGAAACAGCCCTTTGAAAAAAAGCCTTTCATTAGAAAAATAATGCATTTCATCCAAATAAGGTAAAAATATTCGGAATGGGGCAGAAGTAAGCAGCAAGCAGCGGCTGTCAGGCCCTTTCTGGAAGGGAGAAGATTATTAAACTCAATTACGATGTATTTTTATAAAGTGTCTTTTAGGAAAGAACCAGCCCCGTGCTTGGAGGCCAGGGGACGGCTGCCCTGACCTCACCCTGGAGCAGCTCCCTCGGTCCCCAGGGTCTGTCCCTGCTCCTCCGGTGACTCGCTGGTTCTGCCTTGGGCAGGGACATCTAGTTTGGGAAGGACAGGGGGCTTCCCGTGGTGTTTGCGACACGCAGGACCAGGCCAGGAGGCGGGGTAGTTGCCTTCGGGAGATAGTAGGGCCTCTGCCCCCCTGGGGCTGCCCAGTCCTTCAAAAGCCAGGGCTCCTGGAGCCAGTCCCATCCCAGGACCCCAGCTGGGACAGGGAGCACCTGGGTCAGGGGAAGGGGCTGCTGAGTTTGTGCCCGCAGGTGGGGTGTGTAGCAAAGCCAATCCACAGAGAAGGGGACAGAGATGTGAGAATGTGCCACCCACCCATCGGCTCCCTGTGTGCCCAGAGTCTCTTTCCCTCTTTGTTTTTCTTTATTTTTAATAAACGCATCTGAGCAAGCTGTGTTCATCTTTCGGGGCCCTCACACCCAGGTAGAGGTGGAAGAGTTTTCTAGAAGGTTTCGCTTCCGCCCTCCTGGTGGCCCAGCCAGGAGCATGGAGGCGCTGGGTCTCTGGCCTGGCCCCAGACCCCTCCCTCTCCAGGTGACCACCCTGTCCCTGCCCCAGAGCCCAGGAGGGAGGGGGAGAGCAAGCAGGGGTCATTCTTCAAGGGTCAGACATCTCCTTCCCCAGGATTTCACTTAATTTGTCTGTTTGTTTAAACTGGTTTCTGCCAAGGCACCCAAAGAAGAGGTCAGAGACTCCAGACAGGGCAGGCGCGAAGGCACCAATGAGACCCGCATGCAGGTGGGAGCTCCAGCCTCAGATGAGGTGCACACCTGAGGTGTAGCACCCAGGTAGACCTGGAGGGCCTGGCCGCTCTTCCTGCCCCTGCTCCTTTGCTGTGTACAGGGGCTTCCCACCCAGGGACAGGCCACCGCCTGGCCAGGGGGAGCCACGCCCAAGCTGGCACATGCTGACATGCATGTGCACATGTGTGTGGCACCCTCACACTCACGCAGGGCCCAGTGGGTCCTGATCCTTTTGGAGAGGTCCCCCTGTCCTCCCCCGACACCTGCCCACGCAGACCACCGCTCAGACCACAGCCTTGGCACTGTCTTTAATGCAAAACGGGTCTGAAATCTTGCCTGGCACTGAGGGATGACTACCTGAATCATGAGTAAACCTTAATAACTTACTGTCATTGAGCACGTTAAAGTTTGTGTTCTCCTAGAAGAAGAAAGAAGATGTGTGATATGTTCATGAGAGGGATGCCTGAAACCTTTCCTTGCTCCACGACGGATACTGGAAGGACCTTCTTTAAAGTGACCGGGTCATGGCTTTAAACACCACCGTGACACTCGGGGTCCAGATGCGTTATAGACCCGGGGCGAGGAGCCAGCCTCAGGGAGACTCCAGGCAGGGGGGTTCTTTCTTGAGGATCCCTGCCTCCTTCCAGTGGTGCGGGGCACAGGGCTTACTGGAGGCCAAGCCACTGGGTCCGGCTGCTCCAGCGCTGGCTGTGGGCCTCCTGGGAGCCACTGATTTCTCCCTGACCTGCTCCAGAGGGTGCAGAGGCACCTCCCAGCAAGGATGGCCGGGGCCTGGCTGCTTCGTTCTCAGACAAGGCTCTGGGATTCCAGCCTTTCAGAGGCCACTGCTGCCTCTGGGGCCGGGGCCACCTCCCGTGACAGTGGATGGGCAGCTGGCCTTTGCCCAGTGGCCTGGTATGCTGCCCAGAAAGGGGGCTGCCTGTCGCCGTGTCCAGGCTGGGGCAAGGCCGCTTCATGAGTGCCAAGGCCCGGTGCACACGGGTGACTCAGGTTGCTGGTGGCGCCCCTGCTGGGCCAGGTCCGTGGGAGGTGGGCAGGCCCCTGAGCTCAGCCCTGAGCCTGTGCGGCGGGTTCTGGCCCTTTCCAAGAGGTTGCAAAACTCTTGAATTTGCCCCAGTTTGGGTGTAGGAGCATCACACACCACAGCTAATTAAATCCCAGAAGGAAAACATGCTTTACTGCATTTCCTACTGAGTCCAACAAGCCACAGGGAGTGCCGTGGGACCTGGGCCCATCCCGACCCGCAGCCACAGGCCCCCTCCCAGCTCTTGGGGGCGGTCTCAAGAGTGGGCACATGCCTAGTGGGGGTATGAGCTTCTCTCCACCCTCGGGGGCGGGACCTGGGATGTGGCACCACAGGCTGGCCTGAGTGCTCCGTCCTGAGGCCCTGAGATGCCTCTGGGCGGTTCCTGAGTCCCCGTGCCCCTTCCTTGGGCTGGACTCAGGGCCCTACTTGTTGTGAGGTTGGATCAGCCCTGGGTGAGGCCTTCTGAGGTCCATCCAGGCCCAGAAGACCAGGGGGCAGTTTTGGGGTCTGGCCAAGGTTGGCAAACCACCCTGAGTCCCCATCCTCCCTCCCCTGGGCCCCAGGAGTCGGTGCTGCCCCAGAGAGCTGCCCACTGTGCCGGTGCCTAGAGGGAGCCTTGTGGCCACACTACCCACCCACCGGCTGTTCAGGGCTTGGCTCCCTGCCTCGCTTCAGGCCCCACGGGAGGCCCACCAGGGCCTGGGAAGCTCCAATAATGGTTTTAATTTGTTGAACTTGTGTTTTATCCCATAAATTAGTCACTGTTTTATTTAACAGAATCAAGATATCCACAAACAATAGGCGAGTTCCAACTTGAACATTTTAATAAGACAGAAAAAAGTATATATTTTCATGTCTGTTACAAACATATTTATGTAAATAGCCTGTGGGCTGCGTTCCAGGAGGAAAGAAGAAAGGGAGTGCCTGCGCGCCGCGGCTGGGCTGGAGACGCACTTCTGCGGTGGAAAATGACACGGACCTGGGCGCTGTGGGCTGAGGCCGCTCTCCTGCCACCCCCGGTCCCTGGTGCCTGGCCGGCTGGTGCCAGGCTCAGTGAGGGAGAAGCGTGCTGCGGTGACCGAACCTTTCCAGCCCCCAAGTCTGCCTGTTTCCTCGTCGGGCAAGTGGTTGTGACATCCCATGGCTGGGGTGTGATGAGCCAGTAAGACTCCTCAGCATGGAAGAATGTGGCAGATCCCACGCACATCCCCTCCCCAAGGTTCCAGGAAGCCCCGGCCACCTGGAGTCTGGCTCAGAGCAGGGCTGCCAAGGTCCTTCCCATGATGTGGTGTCATGAGAAGCCGGCCATCAGTTGGAAGTGTCAGGGCAAACTCCTACAGTGCCTGGGAGGCTTGCACTCCAGGCTAGGCCTGGTGGACACTCTGGCCTCCGTGCTTCCAAGGGAGCCAACCATGGTGCCACCAGGGCTGGCAGCTCAGGCTCTGGGCTGGTGGCTACAGACCCAGGAATTATCGGCCCCCTCTGGCTCTGCCACCCTGTGCTCCAGGCAGGAGCCGCGCCAGCATCCGGATTGGATCCGGGTACGCGCCGTTCCCAGCCCGGGCAGGTCCCTGCAGGAAGGAGGAAGGAGCCGAGGGAGGAGGCAGGAGGGTGGCCCTGCCAACGCCGGCCCAGCAGCCCAGCAGGAGAGGAGAGGGTTGGCTGGGGTGGGGGGTCCTGGGAGGCTGCAGAGCCTTTGTTCAACGTCCCAGGCCTTGGTGTCAGATGGCTCTGCCCACAGGTGGCTCCTGAGCCCCAAGTGGGGGCTTCAGGCAGGACTGGGGAGGAGGCCACCCTTCTGGCCAGGCCAGGATTGAGGCCCCTACCTCTGTCCCCAGCAGCCCAGGGACAAAACTGGTCTGTTCCCCCTCTTTTCCTGCCAGGGTCGAAGGGCGCCCAACTCTTCCTCCCCTCACCCCACCAGTGTAGCTGAGTCATGGCCAGCCGCCTGGGGGCGATTTTAAAAATAAAAGATAACTTGATAGATTTTTTTTTCCAGTTTTTATTGAGTGAAAATGTCAAACCTTGCATCAGTCATGCAAAAAAAAAAAAAATCAAATAAATAAAACACATATATTAAATTTCTAATAGCACTAAATTCAAGTGGAAAAATATTCAGTTCTTAATAACCAGGTGCCGAGGAGACCAGATTCAAGTAATCAGAGCACACGCTGTTCAGTTCGGGTTTCACGTTCTGCATTTTTTTTGTCTCAAAACCTCTCTATATATCTCTATATATCTATATATGTATATACATATAGATATATACACACACATATGTGCATACATATTATTTTATATTTATATATATACACATACATAGTTATAAAACATTAAAAAGAGCATTGGTGGATCAAGCATTGTTTTCCCCACAGAAAGAAAATAAAACAAAAATTACACGTTAAAATTCAAAATGAGCTAGCAATGGCTTGTAGTCCTAATGTGCAATATGAAGGTTACAAAAGGCTAGACTCCGCACTGTCGGCATCTTCTTTTCTTCTTCTTCTTTTTTTTTAAGTTTGATTTTGCTACATTGAAAAAAACGTTTTTGTGTGTGTGTATTTTTTTTCCTTTACAAAACTCCTTCCACAGACTCCCGGGCCGTGGCGGGTCACTGTCTGGGCAGATGCTCACAGCAGCATGTGGTACCCACAGAGTTCAGGAGGCTCTGGTAGGGGCTGTTTTAGAAAACAACTGATTTCCTGTTGAATCAGGTACGCTCCGTGCGACCACTCCTCCCTCCCTGCTCCCTGTCCAGTTCGGGTGGTCCTGGCTTTCTGGCTGTGGGCAGCCGAGAGGACAAAAGAAAGGAAGAAAAAAGGGAAAAGTAAACCACTGCCCCCCAGTTGAGCCAGGCTCCCCCTGGAGACCCCTGGGGAGAAGGCTTCTGAGTGACAGCCTCCCCACCAGCCTTCCATTCCCTCCTAGGCCTGTTTTCTCCCTGTGGCCCAATCTGACACCAGCTGGTGGCCTGGAGTAGGGAAGGTGGGCAGGTGTGGCCTCGGGCAGCCTGCCCTTGCAGGGGACTCGGTCCCCGGGGACCTCAGAGCCACCAGCCAGGTGTGTGCCTGCCAGGTCAGGCCCTGGCCGGGGCTTCCATGGCCTCATCATCTCCAGGAAGGGGGATGTTTTGTAAAGGGAACCCAATCTGGGTAGACTGCACCGGCAAAGAAGCATCCCAAACAAAGTAATAAAACAAACTGGAAAAAAAAAAAAAAAAAAAAAAAAAAAAAGCCCTATAAAGCCACACGCATCACCAAGAGAGAACTCAAATGTTAAATTAACTACAAACTTGGATCAACAGTAATAGTCCTTTTTTCTTGTCTCAACAAAATTCAAGTTAAGAGTTGGAATCACGCAGCTCCCATCAGTGCTAGTGTGAAGACAGACAGCCTCAAACTGTTAAGGCCTCTACAAAAAACGCTGGACCAAATCCCACAGGAGAAACGGGACTGAGCCTCCAACCTCAGGCCGGGCCCAGGCGGGTCTGCACTCTCACCACGCCTGCTTTCTTCCTTTTTGTTCTATGTAGAATAATAACCTTTACAGGAAAAATACTGTACAACTTTCTTGTATTTTTTTCCATTTTGAATATTAAAGCCAAAACCAGGCGCGCATCTTTCCTGTTTGCACCGCCAGGGTGGCCGAGACCCTGCCCCGGCCCCCAGCGCACTGCTCTGGGTTTTGGACGCAGCCTCGGTTTCCCTGGGGCGGAGGCTGGGGCCAGGGAGTCACCAAACAGACCCGACCCAGGCTTGGGGGAGCAGCCGGGCCCTGGGGTGGGGCTGAGCTGGTGCTCCGCGGTTGCTACTCCTATGAGGCTTCCTCCACGGTCCCTGTAGTGTCACCCGTGCTGACCGCCTTCTGCCCGTCTCCCCCTGGGTAGGGGGGAGGATCCTAGCTGCATGAGGGAGGCCCCGCCAGCGGCTCCAGGAGCCACCCCGCCCTGGTGGCGCGGGTTGGGGGTCCCGGTGGCCCCCAGCGCCCGTCCCAGTCCTGAGCAATGGTCGCGGGGCCGCAGCGGCCGCGGGGAGGGGCGCCGGGACAGCGGCCGGCCGGGAGCTGCGCCCCATTCGCCCGGGACCCCTGCTCCTCGGTTCCCTACCCCGGGACAAGAGCACCTTCTGTTTCCCTGAAGAGACCCGGCCTCCCTAGAGCAAGGCCGCCGCCGCCGCCTGTGTCCTCGGCCGCGGAGCACCAGAGGGGTCCCCGCCTCTGTCCTGAGACGGACTCGGGGTCCGGAAGCACCGGCGGGGCGCGGGGCTCTGCCCAGGGGCGGCTTCGCGCAGGGTGGCGCCGCTCCCGAGACCGAGGCCGGCGCCAGGGCCACCCGCGGGCGCCGCTAGGGCGAGGAGGCGGCGGTGGGCGCGGGGCCGGGGGCGCCCAGGGCCGCCAGCGCCGCCAAGGCCGGGGTCCGCGCGCCCGCGCCCGCCGTCTCCGCCGCCGCCTCGGGCAGCGACTCCTCCGAGTCGGTGCGCAGGTCCTCGTCGTCCTCGTCGTCGTCCTCGTCGTCGTCGTCCTCGTCGTCGTCCTCATCGTCGTCGTCCTCGGCCTCCTCCTCCGGCAGCTCCAGCTCCTCCTCCTCGTCCTCCTGCGAGGACTCCCCAGCGGCGGTGGCGGCGGCGGCGCCCTCGCGCGGCCCGGGGGCGGCGGCGTCGGGCGGGCCGGGGTCGCCCGCGTCGCCCAGCGCCAGGCCCAGACCGGCGGCCGCCGACTGCAGGAAGAGCAGCGAGCCCGGCTCGGCGCCCAACGACAGGGAGCCGTCTAGACTGATGGGAGGCCCGGGCGCGGGGCCCTCGGCCGCGGGCTCGCCGCGCTCCTGCTTCTCGTGCTTGCGCTTGTGCGAGTCCATCTGCGACATGCCCACCACCGTGTGACGGCAGCCCGGGAAGGTGCAGTGGAAGTGCGAGCACTTGAGCTTGTACTTGCAGTCGGGCACGGCGCAGTCGGCGCTGGAGCTGAACTGGCAGAAGCCCGCGGCGCTGATCACGTCCTGCTTGCCGTGGTGCTTGCGGTGCGCCGTGACCTTGGTGCTGTCGGTGCAGCGGAAGCGGCAGCGCAGACAGTGGAAGTGCGTGCTGGTGCCCGAGAAGGGGCAGTCGGCGAAGTGGCAGCTAAGCGAGGCCTTGAAGCGCTTGAAGTCGTCCAGCACCAGGTTGTCCACGCGGTCGTGGTGCTGCGCGTGCTTGTACATGTGCGTGCGCCCGCAGAACTTGTAGCCGCAGTTCTCACGCGTGCAGTGGTAGTGGGTGACCTTGAGCGAGAACTGGCAGGCCGCGTCCTTGCAGTCCTCATAGAGGTCGAAGCGCCGGAAGCCCTCCAGCATCATGCCCTCGTCCAGCATCTTCCGGGAGGACGCTGTCTTCCGCCGCTTGCCGAAGGGCGACATGTCCTCGATGATCCAGAAGCGCTTTTTGGCCCCCGAGGCTGTCGGCATGGAGATGGTGTTCCCTGGGGAGGGGCAGGGAGGTCAGTGCCTAAGGGGGACCCACATGGGCACCATCCCAGGGTCACACCCACACGGGACCCCTGATCTGGCATGGCGCCAGAGGGCGGCATTTAGGGAGCCCTCGGCTTCCCCTGGCTCCGGAGGCCTCTCCTGCCCAGCCACCTCCCTACCCCCCGCACAGGAGGGGTCTCAGGCTTCCCCCTCCTCATCCCTGTCTGCAGAAGGGCCTCACAGGCCTCACCCCCGGAGTGGCAGCCCAACCAGCTCTGGGGGACGTGGTGGCTGCTTCCTGGCCAGTTTGGGTGGGAAGTGAGGACACGTCCTGGCGCTAATTGAAGCTGAAGGGGGAATCTAGGTCGGCAGAGTGCAATTACCCAAGTTGGACTCGTGCCAAGACGCCAGCTACGCCTGCCTCTAATGAGGGACAGGCCCGCTCCTTTCCCGCGGGCTACCCGGCTTCCCTGGCTGCGCCTGTCTGCACACGGGGAGCTGCCTACTCACAGTAGGGGTGCCAAGTGCCCCAGGGCTGTGCGGGGCTGCAACTCCCTGCCCTAAGGAGCACCTTGTCCTTGGTACCAGAAGGTTCTTTAAGGTCTTGTTGGGGTTTTCTACCCCAAGGGCTGGGAGAGGACAGCCCTACTGGAGGACTAGGCCTCAGGAAGCTCAATGCCTCTGCCCTCTGCTCAGAGCCATAATTTACCTGGGTCAGGACCAGAGCAGGGGCTCAGCCACGGGAGCTGAGCCCATTTATGTCCAGCTGGCCCAGACTGCTTCCTGGGATTTAGGATGCCCCCCTGCCAAGGCCAGGGTTGTAACCCTTTCTGGGAGGCACCTGTGCCCCTATGGCCATGGGTGAGGGGAAGCCCCAGCTCCTGCCAGAGGCACAGGCAGCTAGTCCTGGCTCCCCACGCCACCCCCACAAACAGGAAGAGCAGCTCTCTGACCAGCCCCACCAGAGCGTGGGTCGCCTCCGGGCTCCTCCCACACGGCTGACCTGCCTGGCTCTCCCAGAGCCTGCTTAGAAGGCCCAGCAGTCACTCTAGCCACCAAATGTCTGCTCTGCCCGTTTCAGGCGAGGCCCCATCGCCCACCCTGAGTGGACAAAAACGGAGAGAAACTAAGGGCTGTGACGGTGTGGGGGCACCCGGCAGAGGGCAAGGGATGGCCTCAGGCCCAAAACCTGGGTGGGTGAGGAGCTGCTTTGGGTCTGAAGTCACAGGGCCTGGTGATGCCAGAGTGGAGCTTCCAATGGCCGGAAGTCCCTGAGGTGGGGGAGGCCCGGCCCTGCCCCGGCCGTAACTCCTGGGGCCTGTACTCAGGCAGAACGTGAGGCAAGAATTAGCAGAGGAGTCAGAGCCCGGGTGGTATCTACGCTCAAGGGAGGGGGCGGGCAGATGCCATCCCGGTGGGTATCAGATATGGGGGTGGGATGGGAGGTGCCTTTGCCCCTGAGCACTGCTGGGGCCTGAGTCCACAGAGATTTCCACTTACTGCTCAGCTTTGGATATGGGCTGGGGTTCAGGCTGGAATCTGGACCCTCTGAACCTGGGCAGGTCCCAGACCCCAGCAGATCTTCCCGAAAGCATCCTCTACCTCTCCCTAGTGCCAGATCCCAGGGGGACTCCTCAGAGTAGAAGCGACAGGTCCTGCCTTGCCCCAGGCCGAGGAAGGCAGACCCCACAGGGCCTCCGGCAGGATGGGCCGTCTCTGGGACTCTGAGCAGTTGTGAACAGGGGAGAATCCCTAGCAGCAATGCTCTGGCCTGCCTAGCACTGAGCTGTCCCGGGGATGGAGACTACGCCCTCTAGTCTTGGGGATGCTTGGCTGTGAGGGGTGCAGAGCGGCCCCGTCCTTGGCCTGGCTGGCTGCAGAAAAGGGTCAGGCCCCGGAGCATGGCCTAGAGGGTGGATTGGAGTGACGGACTGCGGTGAGAAGGCATGTGCGCATTACCTGCAGCATCCTGAACTAGGGGGACGTCACTTTTTACTGGAGTTGGAGTGGCAGTGACGGGCGGGAAGCTGGGCGGGCTGCAGGTGGGATGGGCCAGGCCCCGGCCGGCTCCGAGAGTGGCACTGAGCAGAGAGTATGAGAGACAGGACGGAGAGAAGAGGCAGGGGAGGGGGGGGAGGGGCGGCCGGAGCGTGGCCGGCGAGAAGGATGGAGTCGCTGGCGGCTGCGGGGCCGCGCGGGCAGCCTCATCACCAGCGGCCGCAGGAGGAGGAAGAGGAGGAGGAGGAGGAGCCGGGCAGCCTGGAGAGGGTGGAGAAAAGCAGAAAAAAAAAAAAAAAAAAAAAGAAACCAAAACAAAGAACAAACAAACAGAAAGAACCAAAATGAGAAACCCAATGGCAGAAGCAGGTATGGCATGAAAATGTGTGCACGGATGAGCAGAGAGAGGGAGACAAGAAGAGGGGGCAGGAGGAGAGAGAGGCAGGGCGGTGCCAGGGGTCACATGGGCAGGTGTGCCGGGCAGGACCGGCGCTGGGCCCAGGCCAGGTGGGAGGCAGCAGAGGAAGGAGGCCAGGGCTGTGCTGCTCCTACTGTGGCTCATAGAGGATGGGCCCGGGGTCCTCTCCTGGAAACTGACACGGAGGGCAGCGCCGGGGAGGCGGGAGGATGGCGGGAGGGGCCTCAGTGACTCAGTCCCACAGACCAGCTGGCTCTGCTGCACACCAGCCTGTCCTCCTCAGAGGCCGTGTGCCCCGGACCTTCTGTCCCAAGCTGCACCCACCGGTGCTGGGCTTTGGGAATGGGGCTTGGCC